TACTAGCAGAGGCTTGAGTGTGCAGATGCCCTGTCCCTCTAGTCCAAAAAAACAGTCGGTCTGAGCTGACTTCTGTTTATCTGAACACAGCATATTTTCTGCACTTGTTATTAAGCAACATCCACACACACATATACTGTGGGTGGGGGCAGAGTGGCTAGGAGCCCGGAAAATACTACATTAATTTCAAATACAGAGGATACAGCTTGGACCAGACAGAAGAGCCCAAATTTCCTCCAAATGTTGAGAGAAAAGGTGTACATATGGGAAACTCCAAAACAAGAGTTGGTTTGGGATCCCCCTTCTCAGTCTGCCAAAAAATTAATCTTTAAGAGCCATGGCTCCCTCGTGATCTCTTAGAGAAGGCACATTCCAAGTTATTTCAATGGTCTCCAAACGCAAAGGAGCGCATATAAGAAGAAAGGAACAAATACACCTCAATTATAGATCCTGGTTTCCACACCCACTGGTGGATACTCTAAGGCTTTGGCTCAGCACATTAAAATAAATAAACTAGTAAACTGAACGTGAACAAGAGAATATGTACGAAGTACAGAAATAGCCTCAGAAACGAATTACCAACTAAATAAAAAATGGAAACAATTCTTTCTACACCTTTCTACTCCCATCCTCATTATAATTTTGTTCAGTTTAGCAAAGTAAGGGTTTGGTTGAACAGAACTGCCTCCAAAGCATGCTATAAAGCACTGCGTCATTTGTGAGATGAGATAAATGACAAGAGGAGATTCCAGTCCATCTCTTGAACTATCAGGATTCTCAAGAGATTTTCCCGTCAGTGTGTTAAGGGGACCTTGCACTCCAGTAATGATGGAATGATCCACTGAAAATTTATCGACACTACATAATTACAGCAGTTTGACTGTACTGTACTTTAACTGTCATGGCACCTTCTCATGGAATCCTGGGATCTGTAGTTTGAAGTACTTAGCATCCCCTGCCAAACAGGTCTATGTGCACCCTAATGAACTAAATGACTAGAGTTTTCTGACAGAACATGTTATGCAACTTAACAAACTAGTAATCCCAGGATTCCATAAGAGGAAGCCATGGAAGTTGAAGGAGTGTCAAAATGATATAATTGTGGTGTGTAGATACACTCTTGGTCAAAAGGAAAGGTGCAGTGGGAGATAGAGAGGGAGGATGTGAGAAAACTAGTAATCCCAGGAGATACACTCTTGGTCAAAAGGAAAGGCGCAGTGGGAGATAGAGAGGGAGGATGTGAGCTTCAGCTTCTCAAGTATGTGAGAATTCTCAACTGTGAGACTCACATGTCTCTGTGCAAACTCTCTTGTATGAAATCATACAAGAATTCAGGGTTGTGGCATAACTTTGGTATCAACTATTTGGGGGAAGGCATCAATATAGCGGTCTGGCAAGTCTTAAAGGGTAAGACTGTGCAGGATTATTGGAGGAAACAATAATTACCTGTTTTCCGCTGAGGTTGTCATCCTAACTAAAGACTATACAGTAGTACCTTGGTTTACAAAATTAATCTGTCATCCAGGGTGTTATGTAATGCGGAAATTACATAAACCGGAGCACGGACTGCTGTAGCAATGTGTGCGGTGCTAGAAACCTCCAGGCGCAATGCGTCTAAACCGGCACATAGACTGCCGTAGCAATGTGGGCGGTGCTAGAAACCTCCAGGCGCAATGCATCCTTTTCGTACAGCAAACACACACACCCAGTAAAAAAACGTAAACTGAGGCATTATTTCTTAGAAACCTCCAGGCGCAATGCGTCCTTTTCGTACAGCAAACACACACCCCCAGTAAAAAAAACGTAAACTGAGGCATTATTTCTTAAGGATTTTGGCTCATAAACCGAAAATTACGTAAACCGAGGTACTACTATACTAGCAGCCTTGTCTCTAGCTGGATTATGGTTAGCTTCCCACTGCCAGTAGAATTGGGTGAATTAACTGGGAAAGTCTAAAAGTTTAGAGGGGTTTGTAAGACCACACAAAAGGAAGATTTAAGATGTAATTCTTAAGATTCCAGGATGACTGTTCCAAATGCAGTATTTCTTTGCATTCTTCTCTCACAGATGAGGAAGAGACATATGGTGAGAGAAACCTCAACATCCAAACAGGCCCACCATTTCAGCTACCCTTCAGTTTACAAAGCTATGGAGATGTTTTCTTCATCTCTACAGGACATGAATGATATAGAATTTTTTAAAAGGCGCATCTTTGTGACAATTTAAGCACTAGACTATCAAACCAGTCTATGAAAAGACTAAACAGGCAAGCTCATAAGTTTAAACATGGCTTTGCCTGAACCTAGGTTGATGGGGGTCAACGTCCTGCTCTATGGTGCAACCGATTTTTCAATGTGTTCCCCACAATACTTTGCCAACATGTTGCCACAGAAAAATTAAACAGCAAAATTTCAAGTTTTACACAGAAAGTTCAAGAAAAAAACAATGTTGCTCAATATTTATATAATTTTTGGCCCTTCCAAAAGTAAACATACCCGACAAGGCATTATAAAAATCAAGGGCACTTTAAGAGCCAAGAATTGCGAAACATTTACCATTCCTTATTGGGGGTGGGGGAAGGTTGCAATGTAACAGTAAAAAAGTGAAACTCTTCATTCATACACAATGGCAATCTTGCAATAGCACTTATGCTAATGACCATCTTTCTTTTTCACAATAGCTGAAAGGAAGAAGATTCACCGAAGAGTTATGCTTCGTAGCTCTGTTGGTTTTAGGAGGGTTCGCATTACTAGTTTCTGGCTCTCTCTCCTGCAATATGCAGAGGCGGTGTGATAAGTTCAAGCTGCCTGGTACTGCATTTTTTTTAAGGAGTGGTGAACTCCCACTCCGTGCTTAATAAGGTGTTTATTATATACAGGATCTCCCCGACATGTTTATTTGTCACACCCAAAAATCCTTAGGGTGGTGAGGGCCTCCAGCTGTTACTGAACTGCAGCTCCCAGCACTGGCTATTCTGGCTTGGGCAGAAGCGGGTGGGGGGAACCTCTACATCGCCCATCCCTGCCTTAGTGTATCGGCTGTTTGTGTTTGCCTTTAAAACACTGGGCACAGATGGGTGTTGCTGTTTACACCTGGGCATGGGGGCTGTTTACTCAAAGAAGCCCATTGTCACATTGCCTGCTCCCATGCAGAAAAGGCACACTGGGAGGAAAAGGAAGCTTTTTGGGCCACACACCACTTGACATTCCAGTGGGACAGACTGTGCTACTCAGCCTATGAGGGTCACTGCCTTAAGCAATAAATGGCTTTACTCTACCCAGGAGCCCATTCCTTTATGGCACCCCTTCCATATGCTGCTGGCTGCATGCAGAAAAGGGACACTGGGAGGAAAAGGAAGCTTTTTGGGCCACACACCACTTGACATTCCAGTGGGACAGACTGTGCTACTCAGCCTATGAGGGTCACTGCCTTAAGCAATAAATGGCTTTACTCTACCCAGGAGCCCATTCCTTTATTATGCTCCAGAAGATCTCTGAAAGAGAACTGAATCACACTAGGACTGAACACCGGAGGAGCGTCCTCCAGTAGCCCCCCTTATGGGCAGGGATGCCAAGACAGACGCAGTGCCTGGACTCCTCCACCCTTGAGAACCTAAATGGCTTTACCCAGGAGCCCATTCCTTTATTATGCTCCAGAAGATCTCTGAAAGCTGTAGGAGAACTGAATTACACTAGGACTGAACACAGGAGGAGCGTCCTCCGGTAGCCCCCCCCCCCTTATGGGCAGGGATGCCAAGACAGACGCAGTGCCTGGACTCCTCCACCCTTGAGAACCCTACAAAGAAAGAAGGCACATGAGGTGTATCCTCTTTGGAGCCACTTCTTGGTAGATGGGAGGTCATCTTGTCTGGTTGGCTTTTTGACTCTCATTCTAACAGCCCATCTTTCCTGCTCCTTTTCCTCAAAAGAATTAAGGAAAAGGTGCTGCTGAAGAAAACCCCTCTCCAGCCAAGGAGACCTTGTGGGAAAGAAAGAAACCCCTCAGCATTCCATAAATGCAGAGCAGGGGTACTTACCATGTGAATACAGCATGGCCATATTTTATGCAGCATATGGAAGCTACCTCTCCAGCCAAGGAGACCCTGTGGGAAGGAAACCCCTCAGAGCATTCCATAAATGCAGAGCAGAGGTACTTACCATGTGAATACAGCGTGGCCATATTTTATGCAGCATATGGAAGCTGTGCCTCCTGTTTAAGTATTCTATACATGATTTGTCTTATATAAATACAACTGTAGTCTGCAAGTTGCCCTGTCCTGCAAGGCAGTCTAAGTATATGTCCTGCTGGAATGCTGACCTAATACACAATTGGGTTGACCTAGGCAATAAATCCGGTTGATATGTGGGTTGATATGCGTGATGCAGCCCTCGGGCATGAAGATGCCCTGACCCCAAGTTACAGGCTTCTGCTTGGCTCCTGCCACAGAGAGAAAGCATTGCAAAATCTGGCCTGAACCCTGTGTCACAGTGACCAAACAATCTGTTCCTGGAAAGGTTACAAGGCTTCATTTAGAAGGACGGAGATACTGAACTGCTTTCAAATAAATACGGTGTCACTCAGTTACTCCTCCTCCTCCTCCTCATACCCTTTCCCTCCTCTGTAATAAGCTGTGCATAGTTAATAGATTGAGAATTCTTTGGGATCCAGAGCCAGACAAAAGTATGGCCCTGCAGATATTGGAGATCCACATTTGCCCACTTTTGTCTTATGTTCTACCAGGGGAAGAGCACTTTGTATTTCAGCACACAGTTTAACTCTTTTTACAATGCAAAATGATTTTTTTTCTGCAGAAGAGGTATAAAATAATTTAAAAGTCCTCTGTCCAGAGCACAAAACTCAAGGCTATGTTTTTTTTTTTAAAAAAATACATTCTTCTAAAAAGGAAAGGAAATTATTTCAATTGTTATTAGAAAATTGGGAACACATCTGTCTACATGTGAGGGAAATATGTGGAAATGTATAAACTGGTACAACTTTAGCAGCATTTTCCAGTCCTTTATACTCTACCCACAACTATGAATTCGAAACATGTTACCTAATACTAAAATTAAATAGGGAGAAAGAGGAGCATCAACGAAGCCCATAATTGCAGATTTCTATCATGATTTATAAAACCGGCAGTGAATCTTAAATTGTGGGCAGTTATTATTTGAAGGGGAGGCCATTATGGTGTAAACACATAGGGCACATAAGCAAACCCCTGTGAGACAAATGGGACCTCTATGTTTTGCCACAGCTTTTGCTCTTTTCTGGGGGGGCTTGTGAAGAACAACAGTGTGTGTTAACCTCGTATGTCTACACCTGAATTTCCCTGAAAAGTGATAAATTTACAAGTGCCTATGTCTAGGTTTAAACTGTCTCTCCTTGCAACAACAGAAAAAGGAAAAAGAGAGGTTTATACAGCAAAGTTTGAAACGAAGTCTCACCAGTCTGTTCAACTGGAAAGGCCTCAAATTGGCAAAATAAAAAATATCGTTTTGCCTGTTGATTGTTTGATTGTAATAAAAATAATAAGTATAAAACGCTGAGAGGATGAGTTGTCCCTGATTAGGTCCTCCAAGTCTTCTTGCATTTCTGTTGCACTAGCTTTTTGGTGATCCAATATCCACTGTGATTTTTGTATACAATGGGAATTTCTCAGTTTTTAGTACAGTGTAGTTCAGACTGTTCAGCCCATCAGACATCATTGTTTCCTTTGTGTGAGCGATCTTGTTAAACCTGGAGAGTTAAGAGAGATTGCTGTTGGTGAAATAAAACTTGTTGCAATAATGACAACAACTGCCACCCTCCCTTGTCTCTTTGTAATGGAACGTTAGTGATTTGTTTTTCATAAGAATGAATTTAGATGTTTTGTCATCAAGTGTTCAGATTAAATACCAAGGGTGGAGAGAGGAGAGACTAGGTTGATATTACAGAAAGGTAAACATGGAAAAAATCAGCCGAAGACCTTTGGTGAAAAACAAATTGGGGTCAGCATCTATTAATACATGTTCAAAACCCAACTGGATTAGGAGCTGAGTATTTCTTCGGCACCAGTGAGGGGAAGTATCTCTATCACATCTGGAAGCCAAGGTGAACAGCACACAGCACTTTCCTGCACCCTCACAGCATCAATCAGTAGTTTAAAGATGGGGACAAACAACTGAGTTTTACAGACGTCTTCACTAGGGGACGTGGTAGTGCTGCAGGTTAAACCACAGAAGCCTCTGTGCTGCAAGGTCAGAAGACCAGCAGTTGTAAGATTGAATCCACAGGACAGAGTGAGCTCCCGTCGCTTGTCCCAGCTCCTGCCAACAAAGATTAGAACAAGCACTCTGTTCTAAGTGCTTTGGAGATAACCGGTAAGTAGCAACTGAATAGAGCTAGGGAAGCTGTGGTAAGCCCCCTTTCATCTTCTCAAATCTTTTTTCTTTTTTCCAAAAAGGAGACCTCCTTTTCCACCATTTTAAATGTGAACAGGGCAACAACTTCAACAACAAACACAGCTGCACCCCGCCTGTCTAGTTTGGTTTAAAACTGTAGTCGAGGCAGTTTTATCAAACAATATACAGTAGTGTCTTGACTTACGAACGTCCTGACTTACGACCATTTCGAGTTACGACCGGAGTTCTGGAACCGATTAAGTTCGTAAGTCGAGGCACCACTGTATAAGCTGCAGCAAGCTGTTCAGTTGAAGAATAAGAAATGGATTTTGCTCTTCTTGGGCGTGGGGCAGAGGTTTAGCAGCCATGGGTTCAGGGTTCTAGCTTTCATCAGAGATAAGCAAATGCCAGGCATCTTAATTCAGACAAAGGCTTGGCATCCAATTCTATTCTGAAAGCAACACAGGCGCCCAAGTTGTCAAGGTACTTCTCTATTCTTAACATGCTGCATTTGTTGTATGTTTATGAATACTGTATAACTGAGATTATCCTAAGCAATTGCACCCCTAGAAACCTCCAGGAGGCACTGCCCATTTAAATGCTTTTTCGGAGGGGACAGCATGTATATATGTGTGCAGGCATTTATTTGAAAAACAGGTCATGGGTCCTTTTTTTGGCAAAAAGGGTTGCTCATGGCTACTTTAAAACAAATGCAGGCACTGTAGCATTTTAGAGAGCAATTTTGTACTCATCCTTGAATTACAAAAAAACTTTATTACCAGATACTTAGTTTAAAGAAAAACACAGAAAAAACTAAAGAATATGACTATTTTGAATTGTTTATGCAGAATGCAAGAACAAAGACTTACCTCTGTGGGTTGGGCTCATTTTTTTGGTCTCTTGAATGGCGAATCATTCGACATTTGCCAACTGCAGCATCTGGGCGGGAGATTCTCATCCCTTTAAAAACTAGCCTGCAGGAACACATAAGTGTAGAATCAGTTAGACAAAATACACAGGTTTCTATTCAGACTCCATTTCATACTCCTAGAAAATATATCCCAAAATATTTCCCAAAGCTGCCATGAGCTTTGGGAAAGGGGACACAGAAACGTTTACATAAATAAACAGATGATGAATGCTCTCTTCTTATGTCAAGAACTGCTTACCTTAAGATCACCTGAACAGATAGGTATAAAATGCATTCACACAGCAATGAAGGGCTTTAGGATTGAAATCTACATTTTAGGTGTACCAATAAAACAATGAGAACTGCTGGTCTTATTGCCTTGCCACTCCTCCTCTGATCTCACCCATATAGCATCATTAACCTCTACCAACTCTGAGCACATGATCCATCAAATTAAAGAAACAGAGCTCCTTTTCCTTATTGCCTAATAACAGCCTGTTCTCAAGAAATTCAGAATTCATGATTAGGATGGGGATGGACAATGTGTGACCCAAAGGCCACATGCACCCTGGGTCATTTTTGCAGTCTCCAGCCCCTCATAAGGCTCCTCAATGCCCCCTCCTAAAAGCAAACTGGTTAAGAAAGTCCCTTTCTGACCTCTGGGGTGGTGGTAGTAATTTTGCAATATTTTGAGGGCCCTGCATATAAAAAAATATATTAAAAATTATTTAAGTTAAACTTTAAAAGAATTAAAACCAATTGTCAGTTAACAAAAACCCACTTTTCAGTACATAACCACTATGTTACACTAAAACAGAGAAAGAGTCAATAATTAACTTTCTTTCTTTCTTTTAACAGCCCCCTTTAGCCCTGCCATCATAGGACTGTGGCCCACAATCTGCTGGCAAATTTGAAAAATAGACCTCAGCCCCTCTGAAACTGCCTCTTCCTGGATTAAAGCCCCCCTACCCATGAAGACCAAAACCCCCAGTGTCTTGTGTTTTTAGAAATTAAACTGTATTTGCTTTCCTTGATATTCTTTCAGGTCTCTTCCAGGATTAAAGCCCCACTACCCATGAAGACCAAAACCCCCGTGTCTTGTGTTTTTAGAAATTAAACTGTATTTGCTTTCCTTGATATTCTTTCAGGACCACCAACTGGGGGGCTCATGATAGTGTTATGGATGTATTGTGGCTTTCTGGTACCACTATGAAAATCTACCCCTATACGCCTCGCTGTCCCCAGCATGCCCAACACGAGGTGCAATCTTCTCTCAGAGCAAGCGCTGCCGAAAGAATTCTCCCCCCCCCCATGCCCCAATGAAACTCAGTGGAAGGGCCCTGCTGCCGAAGCCTTGACCCTGACAGGCGGAAGCCAGACTCTTGTTTGGTCTCCATTCAGAAAGCAGTGTTAAGAGACAAGAAAGCAGTGACCCCTGCGTAATGCAGGCTCTGTCCTGGATCTTCTGCTTTCCGCCAGCCTGGTTTGACTGCAAGCTGGCAAGAAAAGGGAAACAGTGTATGAGCAATGTTCCCTGGCCTTCTTGGATATAAGCCACTGGGAGCTCAAGTCTCTACTCCAGCTCATTCTAGTTGAAATGCAAACTAGTCAGGTGCCTCACAAAGGACAGGAAAAGTCAGCAACAATCAAGAGGGTCTGGTGTAATACTTTGTACTAGGTGTGGCAAGGTTGGCAGACCCAGGAAGTATCTTTATTCATTTATCTCTATTCTTTATCAGTTGCATTTTATCAGTCTCCCTTTTCCACTTATCTTTTCCCTTCAGGACTGCCAAGAACCATCTAGACTGCCAAAAATGCTCTCCCCTTGTCCAAAACTTTTTTAGTTTTGAAACAGAGTCGCGCGCGTGCGTGCGCGCGTGCGTGCGTGTCCTTGTCCAAAACTTTTTAAAGTTTTGAAACAGAGTCGTCTCTCTCTCTCTCTCTCTCTGTGTGTGTGTATGTGTGTGTGTGTGTGTGTTAAACTGAACAGGGAAGGCTCTAAATCCTATCTGAAAGGCAATCCATGGAAGTTTCCAGGAGCTGCAATCTACTGCTTTTTGCTGTGGGAATTTTTGGGAGCAAGGCTAGAAACAAAAACAATCTCCAGAGGGGCCCACATATCTAGATCTTTGCCCATAACTGGTTTAGGTATTCAGAGAGTATCCTGTAGACCAGTGGTTCTTAACCTTTGTTACATGGATGTTTTTGAACTGCAACTCCCAGAAACCCCAGCCAGCACAGTTGGTGGTGAAGGCTTCTGGGAGTTGCAGTCCAAAACTCCTGAGTAACCCAAGGTTAAGAACCAGTGCTGTAGACCATCTGGACTGCTGCCATTGGTGTTGCCAACATATCCTTTGCTATGTAAAGCTTGGCATCCCTTTTCCTGCTGCTGCACAGTCCAGATTGTCTAGCATTATCGGGGCATTTCCTGGCTTTTTGAATTGTGGGTACAGAAGTACAATATCCCACTTTGATAAGCCAGAGGTTTTTTTAAAGAACTGAATAGCAGAGTGCACAGAGAAAGGGGATGGAAACACCTTCCACTGCTCGTAATACACCGGTCTAGCTGAGATGCAGGAGAGAGAGAGCAGAAAAAAGTCTTTACACAGCACAGCGTTCAGCTTTGAGATCTGCTACCATCAGAGTCAGCAAAGACTATCAATGTCTAGGTTGTCAATGACTGCTAGTCATGATGGCTTTATATCACCTCTAGTATCAGATGTAGGATGCCTTCCTATAAGACTTGTTGGGGATGAGAAGTGACAAGCTGCCATTTCCCAACAGTCTGGCCACAATGTGATTAAAAAGCTCAGTTAGACAGACTTTTTGCCTGTTCAGTCCTGGCTTCTTTTATTTAAAAAAAAATCATTCACTGTAACTCACCACTTTCCCTGCTAGTGATGGCAAATAAATATGAAATGTTTCTAAATATTCAGGCATTACACATGTTGATGCTTTCCACGTTTTGAACTCAAAATCACAAATGCAGGTATGTGTGATTTCAGGTAAGGTAGTAAACATATTTATGGGATAGTAATTTATTTGCAAAGAAGCCAGAATTCTACATCGTATGTAGAACATTGGTTTCCCCAGTAACTAACGTTATGACTCAGTCACTCTGTAGCTGCATGGGCAGAAGCCAAGATGAGAAAAGAGACCTTAAATAGAAATATTTCATGAAATAACTTTTTGCCTAAAACAATAGAATTAAAACTATGTCACTCTGAACAATTCTCCACTTTTCTCCCTAAAAGGCTCAGAGAACACTGGGCTCCTCCTGAAGTAATAAAGAAAAAAGACTGAATAGATATGTAAGTTAGGATATGTGCCATTCCGGCTCAGAAGAGATTCACACACACACACACACACACACACACCCCACTTCCTTTTCCTGCCAGATTATCCATCTCATATGTGTGCTGTTGGATGAAGTAGCTTCCCATGTGACTTAAAGAGAAGACATGAGTTACGTGAACAGCAGTGTGCTCTTGTTTCATAATGCTCGGTCTTCTTCCTCTCCTGTCTTTTACCCAGAAGTTCTGGCTTTTTGTCCTGTTACTGAGCACTGCAGCTGTGAACTGCAGGCTAAGAAACTACATACTGAACATGGGAACAATGTCTCTAGAAGACTTACTCAGATGGGCCAACTGCTGATATTGTTGCCTTTCAAACATAGGGTACAAAGCACAATCATGTGGGTGGTACTGGATAGTCCTTGTTATCAGTCAAAAATCATAATATAATGCCAGTTCCCGATTCTCCTTTCCCATGTTCTGTGTGGTTGGGACACGAACCAGGAATACTTGACTGAAAAATGCTGGAGACACACCAGTGCCACCTTCAAGATTACAGTTTGTTATCATCAGAATGTTGACTACTTGGCTTTTATTCTCACATTCCAATTTTAAAATCAAACAAAAGGAAGGACTAAGGGTATGGCTACATTAGCAACAGGGAGTAATCTAGTTTGGGTTGCTTTGGCACGGTTTTGAATGGAGGGGCTTGACTAGATCACTTCTTCCGTTCAGATGGAAATCACTCCTACAGTTCCTGATCTAGTCAACCATATGTTGGTGTCAGATCACTCGCTCTTGGTCTGTTTAGTTGAAATGTGCCCCTCCCCTTTCCACTCCCTGCCTCGACTTTTGCAATAGCTGTCAGTCGGTTGGGAAATAGCCTGCTTCCGTTTGCTTGTGGGTGGATATTAATGCTGGGTTTTTATGCACACAAAGTGGGGGGGGGTATAGTATGCCATGTTTCAGCCCCATATTTTAACTCCTCTCCATTTTTAAATGAATTTTTGGTAAGTGGCATAGTGCTTAAGTGATGCAGCGCAATAGTGGGAAAGTACTTAAAATAAAATATAAATTAAAATGCCTTTGTTCACTTCAAAATAGGATGGCATGTGTTCATCTGCAGTCATGGCTAGACCACACCACCTTTGTACACCTCCACTGGTGTGTAGGAAGAACACAACCGCCGCAACAGGGGTTCAGCAGTTCAGTGTCCCTGTGACAATAGCAGTGTTGCTGCCTGGCCAGTGTAAGGGAGGCTTTCTGGCCAATGGAGCTCTGGCCAGCTGGCAATATTGTTTTTGCTGGGTGGGAGGAGAGGAGCTCCAACAGCTCTTTTATTTCCCCTGTGTGGCAAGCAGGTGAGGCTGCCCTGACCTTAGTACTATCGGTAGTGGCCAGAAGCTGCCAGCTAGGGACTGCTCCACCCACGTTTGAAGCAGATGTGTGAAACAGGCTGTTTCATACCTGGTTTCAGATAGCCTGTGGTTTAAAAAAAAACTTACTGCAGGTTATCCGGAATGTATAGTTCCTGCCCCTGGATGGAAGCACAAACATCTTTGTAAGCATGAATATTAGAAGTGCAGACGTGTCTCAGACACAACATTTCTTTATTTGTGTAATTACTCAGCCATAAAGGAAAAGCTTACCATGTTAGACCCAGTACTGTATCAATATTGCATTCTAAAGATCTATTCTCCCCATTTCCAGAAATAAAGTTCCCTCAACAGTGCAGGATACCTACATCAAATGGAGGCACCAGAGGCTTACCTGTTATAAATGTCATCATCTTCACCACCCCAGCCCCAATAATTATTGGGAAATCCATTGATTTTTTTGAACTGCTCTTTGCTTAAAGCAGACACGCCTCCAAAATACTGATTGTAAGGTAAGCTGGAAGAAAGCAAGGCAAGTACTAATAATTACATCAGAAAGAGCATGCACATATAATATCAGGATATAAATAGTTTCTTCAGTTTCCATATGTATATGTATAAGATTAAACGCGATAAGACTAAAACTCTGTGTTTCTGTAAACAGAAACAGTACTGTATCTAGACTTCAACAGAACTGTTTCACAAGGCAGATTAATAGTGTTTCTGACTAATATTTTATTTTATTTATTTTATTTATTAGATTTATACCCTGCCCATCTAGATCAAAGTCTACTCTGGGCAGCTAATAACCTTTAATTAATAATGTTGAAAAAGAGTACATTTCTGTTTTTTTCCTATCAAAACCAGGTAGAACAAAAAACAAAACAAAACAAAAAAACAAAAAAACAAAAACAAAAAAAACACACTAGAAATCTGCCAGCGTTTGTTTTTCCTTACTTGAGAACTTATATATCTAAATTCAGGTAATAATCAATTCAGATCAAGTAATAATCTTCCTGACATATTGTATAAATTGATGCCCATGAAAGTTTCCTATTCCATCGCCGCCACCCCAGGTTCTGAGGTTCCCTTGGGATCCCTTTTGACCTGGGGAAATCATTGGGAGCCTAAGAGTCTTTAATGCCCACTAATGGACTGGATCGCAATGGTAGCACTGGACAGTGATTCTGAGGCATTAAAGGCTCTCCCCCATCCCAAAGCTATCCAAAGTAAAAAGCAATTACAAAACAGCCTCAGAATGGGTGGATGGGTGTGGAATGGGAAACTTTTAAGGAGCGATAAAAGCTTATGGGTGATGATTTCAGCAACTTTTGCAGGTGTACATTTTATGCAATAGGATTTTGGCCATAGTGAGACCAGGAGGTCTGGGTTTGAATCCCCACTCAGTCATGGAAACTCACTGGGTTTGTGGAACTGGTAAGACCACTCTTTAAATCTCTCACTTAACTTGGAAACTCTATTACAGTTCCTGTAAGTTAGTTCCAACCTGACAGCACAGAACAAAGTATCATGGTTCCTTCTGGATTTTCTAGGCAGTCTGCTAGCCAAGGAGACAGGGTTTTTAACTAGGAAGGCCTGATACACCGTAGCAGACTATGCATGTGTCAAGTGGCAAATGTTTGCATATACAGTACTCCTATAATTCTGATGTTAAATGCTTTATGTAATCTTACTTTCACAGCTTTTTTTTTTTGCTGAAGTAAATGGCCTTCAAAATAAGAAACAGATAATGGACAGAATCCTATTGGTTATGCTAGTGTAAATGTGATGCTGTAAATCACATCAGCAAATTGCCACTAGTTTAATGAGATGCCACTTGTATTCCTCATGACATGCCAAGCCACATACCTGGTCTACAATGTGGAATACAAATGACAAGTTGTTAACAAGTGGCCATTCACTTCTGTGATTTACCCCATTGTATTTAGGTTGACAGAAATAACCAACAGGATTCTGTCCACTTGTTTTATTTTTAAAAATTTTTAAAGCTATAGCAAACTGCAAAAACTAGGGAGTGATATGGAACAGTTTAAAGTTCACCACATCAGAACCAGTATCCAGAATTACTTTGTGAAGCTGCTCTGCTGACACAAGCTTTGGTATCTAACAAGGGTGTCCTTAAAGAACAATGCCTTCCGTGCCTGCTTAAATGCTAGTTCAACACCCAGAGGACTCATTAGAGAACACAATATATTCTGTGACAGTAAAGGAACTGGTCCTCCTTGGAACAGATTTATCTGAGCCCACAGTGGGCCATACCCTTGCTGGGAAGAGGCTGGGAAGACTTAAGGAGTGGTCTTACCAGTTCCACACTCCCAGTGAGTTTCCATGACTGAAACCAAGCCCTATGAAAAAATACTTAAAGAATTGGGCTTGTTTAGCCTTGAGAAAAGAAGACGGATAACATTTTTCAAATACCTGAAAGGTGGTCATACAGAGGAGGGGCAGGATCTATTCTCGATCATCCCAGAGTTCAGGACACGCAACAATGATCTCAAGTTACGGGAAGCCAGATTTCGACTGAATATCAGGAAAAACTTCCTAACTGTTAGAGCAGTATGGCAATGGAACCAATTGCCTCGAGAGGTGGTGAGTGCTCCGACACTGGAGGCATTCAAGAGAAACTCAGACAACCACCCGGGAGGTATTCCTCCATCAAGCAGGGGGTTGGACTTGATGGCCTTATAGGCCCCTTCCAACATCACTATTCTATGATCGACTCATAGCAACAATAAAAGACACATTGTTGCATGAATTTGTGACACCATCAGGTAAATGACAATAACAGAGCTCTTACCGAAAACTAAATTTATCCATCGATACAGAGAGGTGCCTGGGCTGGCTGTAACATTTGTAGATATTTCTGTCATCCATAGGTATTAGGTCAACATCACTAAACACAAAGCAGTCATAATCATATTCTTTCAAAGCTTCCGTGAAGCCTATATTTAGAAGCTTTGCACGATTAAATGTTTCTTCTCCACCCTAGTATAAGAAAAGGAAGAAATGTTAAGCACTTTAAATAAAGGTCAGTTGATTATTTAATACAGGCTTGGACCTTCACAAGCAGCAACACAAGACACCTTCCCCCCCCCTCAGATTTTGTTTTACATTAAGACCGGTTGGTTTAATCTTAGGAAAGCAATGATTTTGCCATCAGTACCGATTGGATTTGCCCTTCACAGAGACCTCCCCAAAGCTCTGAGAAGACTGAAAGCGTACATCTCAAATTTCTTTTATTTTAAGGAATCTCGCCCTGCTCTTTATTGGCTTAAGATGGCTTTGGCTTTTCCGTTCAATGATCTTGTGCAAAGCCCAGCCTTTTCATACCGCTTGAGAACCTAAACATTGTCAGATTTTTGTAGAGCAGACACAACTTTCTCAGAAGGGGAGCAATGATATGTATAAAAACTAGCCAGTTTCAGCATACCCTGAGGATGATGAAATAAAACAAATACAACTCAATTGAAACCCTAGCACCATTTATAAAAATAAATGTTTCAGTTCAGAAGGGTTCAAAGGTTTATCAGTCACGTCCTTCTAAACTAAGAAGCCATTTTATGAAATCCCTTGACATTACCAGACAAGTCACATGAAAGACCAACATAAGATCGATTATAATGGATAATGTAAAATTCAACAAATTCTTATTTTTTACTTTTTATCCTATTTCCTCTTATTTTTCTCCCTCTTCTCTTTACGATCCAGCGTTTTGTTACAGTTCAAATCTAAATTGGTGTGCGACTACATTGGAAAACACTTTGTAATTTGCTAATCATTTTAATGGCATTTTACATGTTGTTTCGTTCTACGAAAGGACTGGGATGTGTGACCTTTGGCGATTTTTTGATAAGTTGGGGGTGATGTTGTGGAACAGCGGAAATGCCTATGACCACAGTCTTTCTCTTTAGTCACCCTGAGATATTTCTTTTTTTCTAAAACAAACTATTGAATTTATTGCTAGATCACCTCCTCACTGCATGGCTACATTAAGTTTAGCACTTGATCACCTCCATGTAGACGAGAGAGAGAGAGAGAGAGAGAGAGAGAGAAATCAATATAAAATTGAAACAACTCTGACAAACTCCAGCAGACTGCAATGTTTCCATGGTGTATGTCTCTACACATATGCAGAATTTTGGAAAACGGTCCCTTTTTCTCTACCTCTGTGCAACTTTTTAAATGCTCCCAGCGGCTAGATGGTAGACCATAAAAGGAGAACTAGGGATCAGCAGGAGGGTGATATCCAAGGAAGGAGGGCTGTGAACACACACAGTTTGAACCACATTGGATTAAGGGCCCAGGGTGGATGTTGGCACTGAACAGCCTGGGGTCTTTGTGTGGTCACCTAAACTAAATGCAGTTACAAAGGAGACTGCAAATCCTTTGGCCAAAACTGTGTGATAAAAGACACAGTAAAGTGAGCCCTGTATCCACAAAAGAAGCTGTCAGAAGGCAATTATAGCAAAAGAGGAAATGGAATATTGACCACCAACTTCCTAGAAAGAACTGTCCAGCCTTGCAAAAATCTTGTAGCAGAGAACTACAACTGAAGGTGAGTCAAGACTACTGTATGTTATTCTACTGTATTTAAGCTGGTGCAAATAATTACTAGGATTCTGGCCACTCCTTTTGGAAGCAAGCTGATGTAGCATGTTGGGGGTTCCACAGTCTTCCCAGGGCTTGGAAAAGTTACTTTTGTGAGCTACTCTCATGGCTGGCAGATTCTAAGAGTTGTAGTCCAAGTTAATTTTTTTAAGCTCCAAATTCTTTACTGGCAAGAATTCCACAATCTTTCAATCAACGTAAAAACTAAAGAGTCGTTGTCTAGTTGTTTAGTCGTGTCCGACTCTTCGTGACCCCATGGACCAGAGCACGCCAGGCCCTCCTATCTTCCACTGCCTCCGGTAGTTGTGTCAAATTCATGTTGGTCGCTTCAATGACACTGTCCAACCATCTCATCCTCTTGTCATCCCCTTCTTCTCTTGCCGTCACACTTTCCCAACATCTAGGTCTTTTCCAAGGAGTCTTCTCTTCTCATGAGATGGCCAAAGTACTGGATCTTCAGGATCTGTCCTTCCAGTGAGCACTCAGGGTTGATTTCCTTTAGAATTGATAGGTTTGTTCTCCTTGCAG